CCTGATAATAAATGGAAAAAATTGCCTTTAACAAACCAAGCAAGACAGGCTAGCTAACCTTGGCTCAGGGATATAACCTGTCTATGAATGGCTTTTAGTTCACAGGGTTGTGAGGATAAAATGAGATACTGCATTTAAAAGTAAAGTGCTTGGCACATAGTAAATGCTCAGCAAATATCAGCTGATGGCATTTATTATTATTATTATTAGGACCTACAATTTGTTATAATACTTTTCCTTAGCAGCAAGATTTGTCCTAGGATCTCATAAATAATTTCCTGCCTGGTAGGTTTTAATTAAATATACAAATGAGAGCAGAGACTTATTTGAAAACATACAGCTTGAATCCTGTTTCCAGTGTTATTCTCTGTCTCAGGTCCGCAGAATAGGAGTGCATTTAGTGTAGCCAGAAGGAGAGAAAAAAGCCTACCTTTCCTTTTTCCCGGGTACAGGCACATTTAGAACAAGAGCAAAATCTATCTCATAAACCACACTCTGGGTTTAGAAAAACTCCCACAGACCCAGCAACTGTAACCTTTGTGTTATTTGTATTAAGTTTTGCCCTTAACCTGCAGCATTTTGGTTAATAGTTTGCTGCATAAAATCAGTGACCTAATTTCCTGGTGAAGCCCAAATGAAGGGTCTGGACAACAAACAGATTAGAAATCTGGCAACTTTACAAAAACAGTTAAAAGACTGCACAACAGAACTTGAAACAAATAAAAGAAAACTTGCTCCTGTCTCCTGGGGCCCCGGAAATTCTTATCCAGACAGATGTCAGACTTCTCCCAATTAGAGCCCATCAGAAAGCCATTACATAGCAATTAAAACACAAACAAACTGACCAAAAGAACCTCCTGAGGCTGGTTGCCAGTAACATAGTATGTCCGGCCACGGGAATGACAAGACAGGGTTTATAAGATTTGCAGGCTTCCTAACCCACTCTCTTGTGTGCACGTCGCTTTGTGGGGCACTTGGCATCTTCACATTCGTCCTCCCCTCTAATATTCTTGAGGCCCTTGTGGAGAACGCTTGCTCTCTGCGCAGCGGGTATGTGGGCCTGCCTCGGTTTCTCCACCGCGTTAATGCTTCCTGCCCTGTGGGCCTTCGCACCTGCTGTTCTCTCTGCTGCCACACTCTTCCCTCCCCCCCTCACGCTCCCTCCTCCTACTCAATGTCAAGGTCTTGGCTTGCAATTTCCCTTCCTCGGTAAAGCCTCTCCGGGCCTCCCAGACTAGATGAGGAGCCTTATGACATACTCCAGTTACTCCCAAACCTCCCCTTCACAGCGTTCATCGCAGCTTGTCACTGCATGTTTGCACTTCTGTTTGATTAAAGTCGGTCTCCCGCTACTGAGAGTAAACTCCACCACAGAAGCAAGCACCCCTGCCTCGTTCATTTCTGGGCGCCTGGCACAAGCATGCCCTCAGTTTGAGGGGATGAATGAAAGACGGTGTAATTATCCTCACTTTACAGGTGAAGGAAGAGACCTCAGAGAAAGAAGTTACCTCTCAAGGTCACAGCCCATTAGCAGAAGTGCTGGTGCTTGGACCCAGGTGTCCTCCTGGCTGGTTCTCACCACTCCTATGATGCCTGGAAGGACAGTTTTCTTGCCATTTCTGGGGAATATAATTTTGAGTCTTGGTACCCCTGCCCGGAGAGGGTGTCCAAGGCAAACACAAGACCAGCTCTCAGTGACAGCAGAAACCCCTGGTGGCTGCCACTCCTGAGACACCCACAGCCCGAGTCAGCATGACTCTAGCAGTGGATGGCCTTGACCTCCTCATTCCAGGATCACTCAGCATCCCTTGAGGCAGGTCCTTGAATGCCCTACAATTACTCCCACTCTCCCAGAAGCCCGGGTTGGGGTGGGGGGTAGGGATGGGGATAATTAAGGAGGGGGGTGACAGGCCCTTCTTTATCACCAAGAATGTCTCCATGTCCTGGAGGCATTTCTGCTGAAGGTTTGATTGTGCAATTCTCTCATGATGACAAAGCTACTCACTTCATCACTTAACTCTTTCAGCATTCTGTGAAGTTCTGGTCCAAAGCAGGGCTTAGAAGATACTGATACATGAGGATGTGAGCCCCAGGAGAGCAGGGAACTTGTGGGACTTGCTCATGGCTATGTCTCTGGTTGTTAGGACAGCACTGGGCACACAGGCGGTGCTCAACAGGTAACTGCTACATGAAGGAACTAAAAGCTTTCTGTGTGTCAGGAACTTACTATATTGCTATATTATAGGGACTGTTACTAGCCCATTTTACAGCCTAGGCAATAGGGGTTTAGAGAGTTAAGAGATTTACTCAAGGTCAAAAACTTACTAAACACTGGAGCCAGGATTCAAAGCACTAAATGGGTGATTAGGATTGGTAATTCAGGCAGTAAGGGAAAGACCTTGATTTCTCGTGATATGAACATGAGAGCAGTTTCAACACTAGGAAATATCTTCATCAGAGAAGGGGGAGAGGAATTCGTGCAACAAACTTTCAGACCAAGCGCAAAGTCCAGATTCTCAGGGTCCATGAAGATACCACGCAGTTTGCTGAGACTCATGTGGGCTTCCCAGCATATAACATAGGGTCCTGCAGCAGGAACCACTCAGGGACCCAGGCACTGAGGGATCAGTGCTCATGGAGAGGGGGAGGCCTAGTCCTTCAGAGATCTGAGTGGCGGGCAGGGCTCGGGTCTCAGGAGGCAAGATGTGGAGAGCCCTGGAGTGGGAGTCATAAGGCCATGTCCCCCTTTGCCCCCTGCACCCTTGAGCTCTCATGCAAATCTCTTTGTGTCTCTGGGGCTCACTTTCCCCATCTACACAATGAGGGTTGTTACTTTACAGCCTAGAGTGACTCCTGGGATCCATTCACCTCTAATACCTGCATGACTGTACATACAAGTAAGTAGCTATAGAGTCTCACAGCATCTTAGAAATGGTCATCTCGCTCAGTCCAACAAAGGAACCCTGCTCTAGCATTCCTAGGAGGTGGCATGAGATTCTGCTGAATAGCTCTAGGCTGGTGGTTCTCAACCCAGGTTGATTATGCCTCCCGGGGGACAGACATGTGGCAACGTCTGAGATATTTTTGGTTGTCACAATGAGGAGGGGTACGTTATTGGCATCTAGTGGGCAGAGGCCAGGGATGCTACCAAACACCCTGTAGTACGCAGGGACGTCTCCACGCGGAAAGATTATCTGGCCCCATATGTCAACAGTGCTGAGGTTGAGAAACTGGCTACATGTTGAGGGAACTCCTGGCATGGGCATGTGTGGCTAGGACAAGCTTGATAGGAACATATGCTCCTTGTAATGGCCCTCCTGACCTTCCATCTGCCTTGTGGGGAAATGGAGGAAGGTTTCTCCCCAAGAAATGCCCTCCCCAAGACGGCTATTCAAACAGCTGTGGATGGCTAGTACAGCAATTCAGCCAACAGCGAGCACCTGTAGAGTGAGTGCACGTGGGTCAGTGCCAGGGCTGAGGGGCCAACGTCAGAAGCAAGGTTCTCAGGGAGATGGCCAACGGCTCAATGCAAGCTGGAGGGGACCAGGTGCAAACAAAGGGCTGAGGGGGTTCCCAGAGGAGGGACTAGTGAGTTGTGGGTGGGGCTGGGGCCATCTGGGGAGTTTCTGAAGTGGGCCATGCCTAAACTGGGCCTACAATGGTAGGCGCTCCAAAGTAAGGCACACAGGACACAATGTTCAGGACGCAGGTGAAGAGCATCTACTTGGAGGCACCAGGACCATGAGATCATCCGAGGGGCTGAACACCGTCCCTGCCACAAGGTCCAGCCTGGCCAGCCCTGCCCACCTCCCACCTCATCTCTCACCTTCTGGCTGCACCCTGGACACAATGGCTCCTCTCTTCCCCCCCCCCCCCCCCCAGAGGCTGGGAGATTCAGTGCCCTCAGGTTGGCGAATCCCATCCCTCCCCTCTTTGCCCAGTTAACACCCACTCGTCCTTTGAACCGCAGCACCCGGCCCACTGTCAGGGAACCTTCCCTGCTGCCCTCCCCACCCCATCATGTGCTCTCACAGTCCCACACTCCTCCCCTTTGTACAGCTTCTCACAGCTGACAGGTATTTGTGTGACTACTGACCATGGTCTACCTCCCCCAATGGAGGTAGGGTTGAGGTTGGAATTCACTGTGGACCCTGGTGCAGAGCCTGCACCTGGTGGGGGCTCGAGAAAGAGTATTTGAATGGACCAAGGAATGACTGGAAGTTGGCTTGGGCAGCTGAAGTGTTGAGTTTGTTCAAGGCAGTTTGAGCCCTCACTGAGGGTCTTAAATCCTAGGCTAAAGTGTGTGTATCTCACGGGTGAGCAGCGATGGGCCCCGGAGACCTCTGGAAAGCGCTCTGCCGAGAACACTGTAATGCCTGGGAATGATGGACTGGGCAGAGGATGGAGGATTGAGCAGCACCTGGAGACTAATTAGGAGACTGGTGCAAGAATCTTGGGGCCAGAGGGTTGGACCCCGGGAAGTGGCAGAGGGAAAGCAGCTCTGATTTGCTTCTTGGAGACTCTTGGTTCCCTCCCATTCCTTTTGGTGCATCCTGAGAGTCTGTGGGAAGACGAAGCAGCAGCCTGGTGTGATGCTCTGAGATGTGGGGGGGAAGGGATGGGAAAGGGAGGTGGGGGTATAGGGGCTGTGATGGTGCAGACACTCAGTAACCCAGACATCCTCCTGTTCTCTGACCCCTTGGCCCCAAGCAGCTCAACCTCCCACCCACTGGCAGAGCCAGGGCAGTCTGCTCAGAGAACTGCCAGGGAAGCAGGCCAGCCGAGCAGCCGGTGGAGGCACACAGGGACAGAAGGCAGATTACACGTCACTTCACATTAGCCACACCGGCAACTTTCCCGAACCACCCAGAGAGGGGCAAATGAATCACAATTCTGAGGACAAGCCAAAAGCACAGACAACACTGAGATGGAAGGAGATTGTCTCTCCTTTCTACTCATGAGGGAACAGGAATGCCTTACAGAGGGTCAGGTTTGCCCACCTGTGAGGTACATCTCCTCTCCTTCGGTGAACATCTGGTGGCAGCGTACACATCTGGCACAGGTTGGGTGGTAGTGCTTTCCTCCTGCCTATGGAAATAAAAAGATAAAAGAGGTCAGAGCTGGGGCTGCCATCCAGTGGGGCAGGTTGGGTTTGAACATTTCCTAACTCATTAGTGTCGACGGCATCTTCATGGCCCTGAAGCTGGCTGGGAGTCTATGCAGGGGAGTCCAGGACAGTCTACAAGTTCACCAGAAGCTTGGTGATTCCATACCATGGGCATCTGATGGCATTCAGGGGACTTCCCTGGACACCTGTACTTCTATTCCAGCAGTGAAAGGGCCCTTTGAAGGCCACTGGTCCTACCTCCTTACTTACAGATGAGAAAACAGCCTTACTTTGAGGACATCCCAGCATGTCCCCAAGAATGGGCCCTTACCACCAGAGGTACCTGACATGGTTTTAAGTGGCACAGAGACCTTCGGTTTAATAACATTGGATCCGTGAAAAAAAGATGTCCTTTTTAATCCTCTATCAATTCTTCTGACTTTTTTCAAGAAGAAAGTACCAGTTTGGTATAGTATGTCTTTAACATCTATCCAAAACTTACTAATCTACCTTTTTAAGAATAAGAACAGAAGTGAGGCTTGGAGCCTCCACTAGGGCTATATTTTCTCAGTCACTGGCAATATGGCAAGTGATCCTGGTTTTCCTGTTATATTACATAAGTTTTCTTGTGTGTAAAGGAACCAACTTGAAGATAAGTTATAGCATTAAGTAAGAATGAGCACACGAGGCTCATAGGCATGGAAAAAATTGTGAGAGTGGCACACTTTTAGGGCTCAGTGGACAAACAAGGGCACCCACAAAGCCAGGACCTGTTGGGGAGTCTCTGACCCTCAGGCCAGTCCCATGACTGCTGTACCTGGGAATCTCCACCCCATCCCCAGTTCACCCCAGTCTGACTTTGGTGAGCCCCCTTCCCTATTCCCACTTTCCTTCCCTACCCATTATTTCAAGTAAAAATGGAAATGATTTGCAGCTGAGAATTCCTCTCTTGTGGGGAGAAACAACCCTCGGAGAAGGCTGTGACTCAAGGTCCCACTGGAAGCCAGGAGCAATGTTGGAGCTACTCCCTGCAGGGCCAGTCACCAGCCCAGTGCTCACTTCCAGGCCGACAGTTCTGACACTGCGGTCCCAGCCAAGAGGACCTGGCACATGAGGGCCCTTCACTGGCAGCTCTAGAACTGCTATATGGGAGGGGCTTGGTGCAGCGATTGGGTTGGAAGGTGGGGCTCATTTTGAAGGTATATGTTGCATGTTAGGGCAGGGTTTTATTGTGGGGGGGATATAACCTGGGGGAAATTGATGGATACTGGGATGTTGTTAAAGGCCCCCCAGACATCCCTTGGTCTGATGTTAATGGGTTCCTTCCAATTCAAAAAGTATAACTGTATAATGCTGAAGGCTTCTCTCTGAATCTTTTGGGGTGGGGGAGGGTTGGTTGGGCATGGACTTATCTATTCTGGAGAGACTTGATTTATTCTAAAAATTTAGCAAGAATGTGGAAAGGGCAGATTTTTTAAAAAGGAAAAAAAAATCCAAAATCCCCTTTTTTCAGTCTTGGTTGTTTGCATGGTTTGCATGCACCAATGACAGAATGTTCTTATCATCACCAAAGCAAACTGCATTCAAACTTTGGAAGGAGCCTGCTAATTTTCCCAAGCTGAGATGTCGTGGGCCTGATTCTCCCATACCATGACAAGGAGAATCGTTTCAATTAGTAGTCTCTTCCTACTTTGTGTCTCTTCATCATTTCAATTATAGACCTGTTTCTAGGATGGCAACAGCACGATGGCAAAACTGAAGCTGGCATCTTCCTAAATGTCACGCCCCAGCACCCCGCTCCAGCCGCAAGAGGCTTTGTGCCCATCTAGCAATCCTGCCATGAATGTCACGAAAAACCACCTGAGGCAGTGGGGAAGGGAGGCTGCAGAGCAGCAGGTGCCAGCAAAAGGGAAACCAAGTCAGTGGGATACGATGAGACATTCTGTCTGTTAACAAGCCAAAGTCTAGAATCGGTACCTGGAAAATGGGGCCCTATTGGAGAGGTCTGAAAACCACAAGCAAGGTTAGGCAAGGCAGAACAGGGACACAGGGCTGTGGTTCTCCTTGGAGAGGACACAGACCAGGAAGGAAGGAGTGTGACTGGTGCTCAGCACGTTGAGGTCTGTCACTGAGGCAGGGATTGTGGGGTGGCCTGGGGAGGGAATGGGAAGGGGAAATGGAATTTAATTAAGTGCCTAGTGTGTACCCAGAAATGCACTGGGCCTCACAGTGGGCAGCTGTTGCTTTGGCCTGGCAAATATCCTTCCTCCTTCCTCCAGAACTAGCATCAAGCTTTTCCTTGGTGGGATTGACTACCCATTCCCCATGTCAATCCATGTGGTTATTCCAGCTCTATGGTCACAGCTACTGCTTTAGAGATGGGCCTGAGATTCTCCAATGAGGGCCAGTCCCAGGACGCTTGCTGAGCTATTAGGAAAGAGAAAACTCGCCTTCCATCAGAAATGCTGGCTGATAGGATGTAAGCCTAGAGCAGTGGTGTCCGATTTCCCCATCATATAGGAGAGCTGTCCTGAGAATAAAGCCAACACAGAAGAAAGTGGCACCAAGAGGGCAAGATATTCCAAACGCATTTGTTTGAGTGCTGGATCCAGCTGTGCCTGAAGTAAGAACTCCTCCTGGGTTTTTATTATGGGAGCTGATAAATTTTTTTGGTCTGAGCCAGCTGAGTATAGTTTCTGTACTTGCAAGCAAAAGAGTCCTGACTAGCTATAAAGGAAAAACACACTCCTGTGTTGGTCCCTTACTCTCAGACTACTACCATACTCATAGCACTTCTGACACCAGCTATGTGGGTGTTTTTTTTTTTTTTTCTCCCACACCAAGCAATTCTCTATGACACCAGCTGGGTGTCCTATAATTTAATTTATTCTGACACTCTACTCGGAGAGAACATCAGACCCCACAGGTTAAGGGCTCAGACCCACAATACTGTCTGCCCCCAACCCCAATTTAGATACCAATCATAAGTCCCAGGTTGTCACCTGTATTTCTGACTGATCAGCTATAAATCAGGGTTCCCAAGACCCCCATCTTGGGTTTAATAATTTGCTAGAATGGCTCACAGAACTCAGAGAAACAGTTACATTTACTGGTTTATTACAAAAGGATATGATAAAGAATAGAGATGAGCATCCAGATAGAAGAGGCACAAGGTATGTGGGCAGGGGAATGGAGCATCAATGCCCTCTCACTGTGCACCGCCCTCCCAGAACCTCCACCTGTTCACCAACCTGGAAGCTCTCTGAATCCTGTACTTGTGGGGTATTTATGGAGGCTTCCTTGCATAGGCAGGATCCATCACTAACTCAATTTCTAGGCCCTCTCCCCTTCCTGGAGGATGGGAAGTGGGGCTGAAAGTTTAAACTTCTAATCATGGCTTGATATTTTTCTGGTGACCAGCCCCCATCCAGGAGCCCACCAAGAGTCACCTCATTAGAATAAAATATGCTCCTATCCCTCAGAAAATTCCAAGCCATTTAGGAGCTCTGTGTGTAGGAACTGAGGTCAAAGATCAAATGTTAGAACAAAATATGCCCCTAGTGCTCTTATCACTTAGGAAATTAGAAGGATTTTAGGAGCTCTGTGCCAGGAACCAGGGGCAGAGACCAACATATATATTTTCTATGATTTCACATTGACATATCTACTAGGAGTTAGTAACAGTAGTATTCTCCATTGATAGATAAAGACTCTAATAAGACTGAGAGGAAGTGACTTGGTTAAGGTTTCATGGCTAGAAGTGATAAAACTGAAATCTAAGTCTGTTTCACTCCAACTGTGTATTTTCATACATCACACTGCCTCAAAGGCCCTGGGTAGCTGAGAGCTGTTGGCATCGGTGTGGGATACGGGAGCCACTCCACTCTCTGGAGTCCTAGATTTCAGCTCTGTCTTTACTAGAAATTCTGCATGTGACCTGGGAAAAGCACCACATGTCTTGGGGCTCACTTTTCTTATACGTAAAACGAGGAGGGTAAACTAGTTGATTGCTAAAAGTCTCTTCCTGCTCTAAGGAACAAAAAAAAATCAACACACCCAAGATGCTAACGGAGCCTCGTACAAATGTAATCAATTGAAACCCAGTCACAAGAGCTGCCCAAGAAGAGAAGGCTCTCACTATGCTAAATGACAGTAACATGCCGGGGAAAAGACAGCCACCGACAGGATTTCAGAGCAGCTTGGAAATGCTGGGACAAATTCCCGTCTACCGCCCTGGCCCTGCGTGTAATCGAGCTCTCTTCCTTCTCGAACGAAAAGTCTGCTCTTATGATCTCTCGTGCCACACTGACCCTTTACCCCACCACAATGTGGATGCCCCCTGCCCACAATCCTGCAGACCCAACAAATGGTTCTCCTGAAGGTAACCTTGCCCCACACCTCACAGCTTTTTTTCAGCCTGCGTATCCCTACCTGCTTTGTAGAATCTGCCCAACGGCCTGACTGACTCCCCATCTTTTCCGGAGCTCTGTCCTCTCATCACCCCTTCCCAATCTCCCCCCACGTCCCGACTGCTGCTCCTCGTGCTCTGACAACTTCTCAGCCCCTTCTGGCCCCTGTAAGCAGCCACTCCTCAAGGCTGCTTTGAGCCCACTTCTCTTCCTCTCTCAGAAATCCTGATGACTCCAATGGTGCCGACTCTTATTCAAATCCTAGCATTTTTGAGACTGGTCCCTCCAGGCCTGAGCTTTGTCCCTGAGCTCTGATCCACATTCTCACTGTCTTCTTGAAACCTTCCTGGAATTTCAGCCACACCCCACCCCAAAGAGAACTCGATATGTTTCTGCCCAGATCAGCTTCCTTCCCTGCCACCCCCAGTTCTGCGGATGGCGACACCAGACTTCCTCTCACCTGGGCTTGACACTCTGGTTCAAGTTTTGGCCTCTTCTCCTTTGATGGTTACGTCTACAAGTTGCCCCATGGTTGCAAAGCTACTGTAATTCTACTTCCACAGTGTTGTAGACAGGGTGGTTGCCCCTTCCACTGCCACTGTACCTCCTGAGTCCTTCCTGAGGGGTCAAGGGCTCCTCGCTGGTCTCCCACTTCCAGTTTCTTTCCTCTAAATTTAGCCCATGTACATCACGTTATCCTCCCTAAGATGCAGCTTGAAGCAGGTCACTTCTGCTTGGCCTTTCTACAACACCCCTGCCCCTGATGCCCCGTAAATGACAAACTCCTCACCCTGGTATCAGGCCCTCAGAAACCTGGGCCCAAACCCTCCCTATGCTTCTGTTTCATGCCTTTTCCTCCACATCTCACTCCTACAGCTCCTTGGAAATGTTTGATGGTTTATCCACTCTGTGCATTTGTTTATCTTATTCTCTCTGATTCCCTACAGTCTTGTAAAAGCAATCTTACTACATTGCTATTTGGTTTAAAATTCTCCAATGGCTTTCCACTGCACTTGCTAGAAAACAGAAACTCCTAAACAGGTCTACAGAGCTTTATGTGACATGCCCTTTATGAAATACTCCATCCTGCTCTAGCCCTGATTTACAGAACTCAGGCACACTGGCCTTTTTCTCTGTTCCCTGAAAAGGTCAAGCTCATTCTTCCTCCAGCTCTTCACACGGCAGCTTCCTGCTCATCCTCAGGGCTCAGCTTCAATGCGTCTCCTCAGAGTCCGTTCCTGGTTGCTACACTTTCTCCTGCTGAGCCGAGATGTGGCTGCAGAATCCTTCTCAACACACTGCTGACTCCAGGTAATCACAACCGACTGGCCAGATTAGTCAGAATTAATGATTCTGTTCGCAAGGCCTGACCCAGTCTGGCGTCCCTCAGCCACTGTCACATGAGAAAACCGCGGCCTAGAAAGGCAAAGATACTCACCCAAAATCTGAGCATGAGTTAGCACTCAACTGTTTCTACTCCTAGGCTACTGTTTTTCATTTGCACCAAACTCTTTCCTGTTTCTGGTTCCTCAAGGTGGGTGGTCCCAAAGCATAGGAAGACAGCTTCCTGAGCCCACAGGGTGTGGGGGGGGAAGGCCAGGAAGGCCAGCGAACGAGGGCTCAGGCGAGGGCTCAGGCGAGGGCTCAGCAATGGTGCTGCAGGTTGTCTGCCATGGCAGAGCGAGCTGTGTATCAGAGGTGGAGAAGAGCTGTTGCCATGGTGATGGACCAGCCAAAGAAGGGCTTGGGGAATAGGCTGCTAGACAAGCTGGTTCTTAAATCAGCACATTACCAAATGCTTAAAAAATAAAGCAGGGTTGGGAAGAAAATCATAATTGTCACTCCCCAGTAATCGAGCTGCGTCTAAACCTAGAGAAGCAACTGATATTTCCAACACAGCATTTTTGGAACAAGGAATACTTTTGTCCAGCTCCTCATTTTGGGGGTACCCAGAGAAGGTTATCTGCTCAAGGTTATGTAGCAAGCTAAGCTACGGTACAGAAAACGGGGGAGGCAGAGGCTATGGAAAAAGGGGTTTGGGGTGACTATCCCCTTCCTCAGGGATGACTTTTTGGAGTCACAGGCCATCCTGCCTAAACATCTTCAGAGTTACTTGTACCCACTCACCTCCAGGACCCTGCCGCTGATGTATCGGTCACAAGTCTCGCACTTAATGCCAAACTGGGAGTGGTAGTCAGACTCGCAGTATGGAACGCCATCCCTGCAAGAGGAAATCCACACAGGAAGAGGAAGTTAGGGGGGTTTACGGGGGTGTCACGTGGAGCTTCCCAGACCTGCAGGCAACTGTGACTGGGCCAAGATTAGAAGCACTCAGGGAACTGTTAAAAATGCCAATTCCCCAGATACCCTTCAGATACACAGAATCAGACGATTCCTGGGATGGGGGGATGCCAGGGAATCTGCATCCTGACAAACTCCCTGAGTGTCCCTGGGAACTGCCGGTCTGCTGCTGGCTGTGAGTGTCCCTTTTCCACTCCTCTTCCTCTCCTTCCCCACAAATTCTCCAGACCTACTTTTTCCTTTACCCCAAATGGCTCTTTTAAAAATTCATTTAAAAATTATTTTAAAAATAAAATTTTATTTTATTTAGAATAGGTAATATTTGCATTTGGCACATTATATTTAGAATAGGTAATATTTGCATTTGGCAAAGGGGAAAGTCTACCCCCCTCTCAGCCTCTCCCAGTTTCCCTTCCAGGAGGTCATCAATACGTTCAGTCATCTGATTGTGCCCCTGGATCAGTAGAAGACAGGAACGCCCTCTCCCCCGACCACCTCCTAAGTGCTCTATTCTTGCCCAGTGCTGATAACTTATTGGGCAGTAATAAGATTACTGTTAGTTATTCTTATACGACCCTCTACTACTAATAGCCATTGATATTTATTGCTTGGTGTGTGCCAGGCCCTCTGAGGGTGTTTTACATAGGTTATTTCATCTAATCCTTGCAGCAGCCCTATGAGGTTGGAATTATCAGTCTCCCCACTGTATGGATGAGAAAACCCAATTCAGATGACCTAGAGCTGGTTCAAACCCAGACGGTCTGGTTTCTCCCAGGTTGTCATGAGAATTAAAGGACATGGTTCCAGCGTGTCCCAGGGCTCAGCACAGCGCCCGGCCTAGAGTGAGTACTTGGCAAATGGCAGCTAGGGGAATCCTCATGATTGCTGAGAGGGGTCTTCAAGGAGGACGTTTGGGGCTCAGCTTTCAAGGGCCCATGTGGAGATGGTTGGAGCATCAAAGAGCTCAGCCCTGCTCCAGCCCTGCCTAGCTCTAAGGACCAGATCTGATGACATCTCTCTGAAGTGCTGATGCCATCTCTAGTACGTAACAGAACTCGCTCACATACACAGAGGCCTAAAGAACAGGCATGTCCAGGCTGCTGCCCTGTGGGCACTGCTAGGAGCCCACCCTGGGCAGCAGAGCCATCAGTGTTTCCTAAAGGAGAGTTGGCAATGAGGACCCGTGCTCAGCAAAGTCACCAGGTGAGACTGTTGTTTGTGGGTCCACGAGACAAGCTTCCCCCTCCCCCAACCCTTCCACACTGTGTGGGGATGGGAGGGTGACCCTGCAGGGGGACAGTCATTTGTCAGGAGGTGGGCACAATGAGCTAGAAAAATTTGGGTATAAATGCCAACACCTGCTAATTTGGACCCATGAGGTTGTGAGGCCTTTGGGAATTTGAAATATACATGATTCTAAAAAGACGCAGATGGTAAAAGTTAACATTTACCGGGTACTGATTAGGTACAAAGCACAGATCTCTGAGCCCTGACACAACCCTATGAGGCAGGTCGTCTTCTTAGCCCTGTTTTTATAAATGAGGAAACTGAGACTCAGAGAAGTTGAGTCCCTTGCTGAGGTCAAGTGGGCTGGACTTCTAACCTGGGCATCAACGCCACAGCCAGAGCCTCTAAGTATCTGACACTCTTGCTGGCAGATGGATGAAGAGCCCAGAGTCCGGCTGCAGAGGCCCAAGGCGTGGTGGGCAATCTGGGCTGGACCTGCTTGCGACGAGCTCTGAGCAAACCCTTACTCCCCCAGAGAATTTGGACTGAGGCTCACAAACTCAAGGACTCCTGGCTGGCGACTCACCAAGGGCACTCCTTACTTGGCAGGCACAGAGGTGCATGCCAAACTCCACTAACATGGCCTTCAAAGCTCTCGGGGCTGTGACCTCAGCTCAACCTCTGCAGCTTTGGACTTCACCTGTGCACACACCCGAGTTCCCACAAACAGGATGGATGTGTCCAGCACCTCCCTGCCCTTGCCCAGGCTAGGCATTCTGCCTACAAGCTTTCCTTCTTTACATTTTCAAATCTTATACCCCTTTTCAAGGTCTGGCCCAAATATCACCATCTTCCATAAAGCTCTCATATATTCCAGATTCCACTTCTGCTAGTTAGAAGTGAATAGTCACAGCCCTTCGCTTAGACCTCTGACACAGACAAGGGTCGTCTAGCTAGCATATATCTCCCTTTCTGCCAGCAGCAGTACCTCGCCTGGGTTTTCCTGGGAACCACCCCTTCGCACTCGGAGTTACAGAGAACTCACAAACAGCTGCTCTCTGGCTCGAGGGTTGAGATCCTCCTGGCCAGTGATTGGTCAAGAATGGGCATGTGACCCACCAGTGGCCAAACCAGAGGCCGCCGTGGGACTTTTGCTAGAGTTCTTGGGAAAGAAGCCTCTCTCTCTCTGCCAGGTTTGTGAAGCTGCTAGAATGAAAGCCTGGAGCTGCTGGTGATCATCTTTGCTACCATTTGGGGAGGGCCTGCTTGAGAATGAAACAAATGCAGAGGAAGGTAAAGCTGAGAGGGAGAGAGAGAGACACTTCTGAAGTACTAATGACATCTTTAAGCCCTTGGATTCATCCATGCCAGAAGGCAGAATGCCGCTGGCCTTCCCATTTCTATGAGTCAGTAAACTCCCATTTTTGCTTTTTAAGGGAGTTTGAGTTGGGTTTTCTGTCACTTATGATTGCAAAGGTCTTAAAGAACAGAACTTCTCTTGAGCTCTCAATCACATATCCCCTGGAGGCACAGTTTCTTATGTATATACCTTATCTCTCTTATTTTTTGATAGCATAAACCATGCACGCTACAAATTTACATGCTCACTGTGTCCTATCATCAGGCCAGAGGCGATACCTGAGAAGTGTCTGGATCATAAAGTGTCAAAGCTGTGAGGGTCTGTGGCCCTAATTCTTTTTAGGTACTTGAGCATGTAAACGTGGTCACAAGGGCCTAGCACAAGGGGGCTTGTGTACCGCTCAGTGTGCAGGCTGGGCCATCTTTCCTGACAGCTGTGCGTCCATCATCTCTTATCTCAGTTCATTCAACAACTGTATTGTTGAGTATGGGTTGGGCATTGTGCTACACGCAGCAGAGAATTAAACAAGTCCCCCCCTGATGAGGACAGACACTAAATATAATCATTGGAGCAAATTACTTACTGCCTGAGACTCAGTTTCTACAGCTTTTCAAATGGGGATAAATATCTCATGGGGGTAGTCATGGGACTTAATGTGATAATTCGTGCACAGCAGTTAGTACATTCCTTGTCCACAATAAAAGCTCAATAAATGGTAGCTAGCATTATTAACCTTACTAAAAAGTTAACATGGATAAATATACAATTGCAAATGGTGTTGGCCTGTATGAAGGAAAAGAATTGGGCAGAATGAGGCCACCTCTGAGGAGAGGGTGTGGGACCCGAGACCAGAAGGGAGGAGCAAGCACGTGCAGAGCAGAGAAGAGCATGTGAGGCAGAGGAAGCACCGCGTGAGGACCCAAGGTGTGTGGGGTGCTGTTTGCGGCCAGAGTGTGGTAGCTGGGTGGAAACGGAGGGAGATGCTGCTGGGGACTCAGGCCAAGGGTCATGTGCAGCCAGGTCTGGGAGCATGCAGAGGCCAGGCGGGCGGGGCGGGGAGGGGGAGAAACCCACTTGCTGATGTACTCCCCGGTGAGGATGCTGCTGCAGGTCTGGCATTTGAAGCAGCTGACGTGCCACTGCCTGTCCAGAGCCAGGAGTGACTGGCCATGCTTGATCTCCTCCTTGCACCCAGCGCAGTCTGCAAAGACAAGAGGATGTGCTGAGCAAAGCATCCTGGGCCCCTAGAGCCCTGCCATCATCGCACACCTGAGTCAAGGAAACCCCTCCTGGAATGCCAGCTTTTCCACAACTGCTCCCATCCTGGCACTGGCACCTGTCGAGACTCTACCGGGTGAGGGAAAGGCCAGCGGAGCCCTGGCCACTTGACAAGTGGTCTTGGTGTGAGGGAGAAAGAAAGACCTCCCAGGGTTCCTCCAGAAAGTTCCCTGCTGGTCATCCTGACAACTGTTCATCCAGAATGGACGCTGCACCGCTTCTGCTCTCGAGTTGCTAACTAAGCTCACGCAAGTCTCTGTGACCCAGGGACCTGCAGCATCAGTGTCACCTGGGAACTCAGAAATGTGTAGCAGTGTGGGCCCCACCCAGATCGACTGAATTTTTATTTATTTTTAATTATTTTATTTTATTTTTATTGAAGCATGCTTGATTTACAAAAAGTGACTCAGTTACATATATATGTATATATATTATGTATATATTATATACATATATATACAATGTATCTTTTTCAGGTTCTTCTCCATTATAGGTTGTTACAAGATACTAAATATAGTTCCCTGTGCTATACAGTAGGTCCTTGTTGCGTATCTATTTTACGTATAGTAGTGTGTACCTGTTAATCCCAAACTCCTAATTTATCCCCCCCTTTCCCCTTTGTTAACCATAAGTTTTTCTATGTCTGTGAGTCTGTTTCTGTTTTGTAAATAAGTTCATTTGTATCATTTTTCTAGGTTCCACATATAAGTGATATCATATGATATTTTTCTTTCTCTGCCTGATTTACTTCACTTACTATGATAATCTCCATGTTGCTGCAAATAGCATTATTTCATTCTTTTTTATGGCTAATATTCCATTGTATATATATGTATATATATACATATATATATGTATATATATATATTCACACACATATATATACCACATCTTCTTTATCCATTCATCTACTGATGGACATTTAGGTTGCTTCCATGTCTTGGCTATTGTTAATACTGCTGCAGTGAGCATTGGGGTGCATGTATCTTTCTGAATTAGAGTTTTCTCCAGATATATGCCAAGGACTGGGATTGCTGGATCATATGATAGCTCTATTTTTAGTTTTTTGGGGAACCTCCATACTGTTTTCCATAGTGGCTGCACCGATATACATTCCCACCAACAGTGCAAGAGGTTCCCTTCTCTCCACACCCTCTCCAGCATTTGTTGTTTGTAGACTTTTTGATGATGGCCATTCGGACTGGTGTGAGGTCACACCTCATTTTTTTGCAGTTTTCATTTGCATTTCTCTAATAATTAGTGATTTTAAGCATCTTTTCATGTGCCTGTTGTCCCTCTGTATGTGTTCTTTGGAGAAACATCTATTTAGGTCTTCTGACCATTTTTCAATCGGATTGTTTTTTTGATGTTGAGCTGTATGAGCTGTTTATATATTTTGGAAATTAAGCCCTTGTCGCTTACTTACTGAATTTTATCAAGATCTCCAAGCACAGTAGAGTTTTGCTCAATGGCAAGGGCCCTGTTTGTGATTTGTGTGTTTTGTGGTTAAATCTATTTTCTTGCCTAGCACCGTGCTCAGCACATAGTTAAGAACCCAAAGCAGATTCGCTGAATGAGCGTGAATGAGCAGGCCTCATAGCACTCAGGCAAAGGACAGAACTTACCACACACACCTCCTCCCCAACATGATTATATACCAAACATTTGCCTCCCCAAGTAGCAAGGATTAAAGAGTCTGATGAGATCGCTCCGGAGCAGAAAGGTGCCCTTGCTCTCCGTTCCCCTCACCCTGGACTGTACATTGGGGCCAATACTGAATGTAGGAGCCCCAGAGTCTGCCTGTTGCTCAATCAGTGTCTGCGGAGGGGCAGGAAACAGAGGCAGTGTCCAAGACACTTGGGAGAAGCGGGAAATTCAGGCCTAGCCGACCGGATGTCCCACTCTGGAGGAGGAAAGGGTCAAGGTGCAAAGTTTACCAGAGGACAAGCCTGCCTCCTGGCACCAAAGCAAATGCATACTTGGGAGCAGTGGCGAGAAAAGAGACGGCGTATCAAGTTGGGAGAGGCTGGCTGAAGCTCTCACATCCAGCTGGGAGCCTGTCCTGGGAAAGGAGATGAGGTGTCCATGTGTCTAGGAAGCGGGTGTGACCAGCAGGCTGTGGGGAGGGTCTGGGCCCTGATGAAGTGTGTGTACAAGGCAGCTCCCATAGTCCGCGCCTCTTGGCCACACAGCGCCTTTCTAACGTCTCTTAGCGCAAGCTGCGGGCAGGAAGGTCTCCCATTGCAAAATGCTTCAAGTCCCAGGTCTTCAAATGGGGGCTGGGAGAATAGTTTTAGGACTTCTTTTCTCCTGGGATAAGTGTACCCCCACCCCATCCTGATCATCACAGTCTTCAGAATGTCATAGTTTAGAGAGGTCATGTACCCCCTCCTCTTTTATAGACAGATGGCCTCTGAAGTGACTTGCCCATGCTCCGAACAGTAAAACCCAAGGGCTCAGGCGTCTGGTCCAGCCTTCTAGGCCACAAATGCTGACCTTCTGTCTCTGTGGGTCTCACTGATAGGGTTAAATGATTCCACAGGGGCTCAGAGTTCACAGAGCATTTGGCCAAAGTCCCACCCAATGCAGGAATCTACAGCATTCTCAACAGGGGTGGGCACCTTCCTCTGTGTCATCGCTTCCAGGGGTGAGCAGCTCACCCCCCCCCCTTTTTTTTTTTTTTTCCCTACGCCGGGCCCTCCCCTTTTTTGCCTC